AATTGGGGAGCTGTGGAGCGAGGGGAATGATAATACTATCTCTGGCTACCTCATGAGGTTATTTTGAGAACCAAATTTGCTACCTTTGAAATCTATCAAGCACCAATGCCAGTTATTTTCTTTACGTACTATTTATGAGGCATCAGTCACACTGATTAGTACTTTACCAGCAATATTTAAACTTAAAACATACTTAATGAGAAAGCTGAAACTAAGCATCGATTAGGATGCTTCCAGGATCAAATGACAGAAGCCTAATGTAAATAATGAATGATTCCATTACCCGGGTCACTCTGAAGAAGAGAAGCAGGAGAGACTGAATGCTGGTTTGGACAAGGAGTTCAAAATGAAGACAAAGTTCCTAGGCAACTCTCAATGCTCAACTCTGTCGTTGCAAAGTGCTTGCCATCTTAGCGCCTACGCTTTGAGAGAGAAACAGAGAGAGCAGGAGAGAATTTTTCTAGCATTCATAGCGAGTTTTGAGGATCACTTTTATGGGGCGAGCTTAGGTCACACAGTCCCCTTGACCCAACTAGTCTGAGTGAAGGAATGCACTGATTATCTTAAGACAACCGAGCCCATTCCTGGGAGTGAGGCTTGCCTCCCTGGTGGCGCATGCTCTCTGGCGAAGAGCACATCCTTGGATGGAAACCAAGATGCTGGAAGAGGAGCATGGAAGAGCTGGTGGGAGCCAATAAGTGTTCACAGTAGTTCACTAGCCCCCTAGCAAGACAGAACATTCTGTCCTGCACAAACTCTCCCACTAGCTCTTTCTCATTAATCTGCTTTTAGTTATTCTCACATGTCCCAGTGTATTTGGAATATATATGCCTGGTTGCATAATCGTTATAGGTTGGGCTGTTAATCATAAGGTCAGCAGTTTGAAACAACCAGCCACTCGATGGGGACAAGATGGGCCTTTCTATTCTCATAAAAAGTTAGTCTTGAAAACCCACATAAGCTTTTCTACCCTGTCCGCTAGGGTTGCTGTGAGTCAGAATCAACACACTGGCGGTGAGTTTGGTTTGGTTATGTACCTCCCTTTACACAATCAGTATGAGTTTCTCAAAGCCCTTTGTCAATTGGATTTACTTCACTTGGACAGAAAAATACATATACTAGCGATCTCAATATTTAAAAGTGGGAAAACATCTGTAAAGCTAAGCCTTTTTTAACAAAATAAATATTCAAAAGTGTACCAGTTTATCTATAATGAGTTCTTTCTGATAGTGACATATTTTAGATATTTGAATATTGACCCATTTCCAGACAGTTGATAACACATGGATTTGGAAAGTGCTACATCAGAGGTTCTCATAGTGGGACGGTCCCTAGGACAGTACCCTCACAATCACTAGGGAACTAACGAGAATCCCAAATTCCCAGACCCCATCACAACCTACCCAATCAGAAACTCTAGCAAGGTAGACCTACTAGGTCAGGGGCCTAACATCTCTGGTTTAAACAAGGAGCCTAGGTAGTCCTGATGCAAGTTCAAGAATCACTACAAAACCAAAGCCAACACAGTGCTCTGGGACAACTCTGACTCACAGTGACCCACTGCCCCTTTGAGGTTCCAAGGCCGTAAATCTTTACGGGAGTAGAAAGCCTCATCTTTCTCTCGAGGAATAGCTGGTGAGTTCAAATTGCTGGACTTCTCATTAGCAACCCAATTAATAATCCACTCTGTCACCAAGCCCCCGAGAACATCTACCCTAAGTCGCCCAAACCAAACTCCCTGCCATAAAGTCGATTCTGACTCCCAGCGACCTTAGTATAGAACAGAGTAGAGCCATCCCTGTGGGTTTCCGAGAGGAAATCTTTACACTCAGTGGTTAGCAGTCTAACGCATAACCCACTCTACCACCAGGATGCCTGCACTATGCAAATAATGAGATAAAAATTAGAGAATGATATCAATCTAAAAAGTAGTGTTTTCCAGTGTTTCCAACTGGCTTACTCTGATTAGAACCCCTGTTATAATTTGCATTTCCAACCCAGAAACCCAGATAAAAGGATGTAGATTCTCACCTGGAGGATCTTGTTAACATGTCCATTCTGATTCAGTATATCGGGAGTGGAAATGCAAATTCCCAGCAAGGGATCTATTATAAATGAGCCAGTTCAAAGCCCTGGTGCATACTCTCTTTCTCTTCTCTTCTCTTCTCTCTCTCTCTCTCTCTCTCACACACACACACACACACACACACACACACACACACACACAGTGGAAGGCTGCTTGTGAATAAGGATTATAGTTTTTTTCCTGACATACTATATACTTCTTCAATTATGAAAGAATCAAATCAAGTAGTAATAACATGCATAGCCACTTCATGTTTTCATAATATTTAATGTCTTTATTTAATTCTAAATATTTTATTAATAATCATATGAGAGAGCTTCAAAAAGTTTGTGAAAAAATTTCATAAGCTTTTCATTCCCCTCATATATTAACTCATGACTTCTCTAGTTTCAATCCTCCAAAGGTAGAACAGTTGGATCTTTTGCAGAAGGAGAAATAAAAGAGAACACGGTCAATGTTGATTTGCAATCAAGTTAATGTTGTCAGCCAGGACACCTTTGTGGTTTTGTTGAAAGAGCCCATTTTATACCTTCTTTCTCAGCGGGAATGCTGTGAAGATTCACAAAAGCAATAATAACTCCCCACTGAAGAGCACACTTCTAATGTGTTTTATGAAGTTTAAATGTCACTGTTGGTAGTCAGCAAAATTCGTACAAGCAGGAGTTGTAGCTCGCGTTACACAGTTACACAGAGGAGGTTTGTGATTAGTGTTGCTTCCAAGAACTAGTGTCTACAATTTTAAAGCAGTAAGTAATGTGCCTTTGTCTTTCTTAAAGATCTTTATGAATACACTAAAATATCTACAAACTCACGAGTACCTTCTGGATGTGGACTTATGGAGACTTTTTGCAAACCTGGAGGAGTTAAGTCAGGTGAGCCAAAGGAGAAAGAGGCCTGTAGAAGCCATGTTTTAAGGTTCAGAAGGTCATGAAAATCCATGCTTGGTCTATTCCTGTGACATGTAATGCATCCTTCCTGAAAAGTAGAAGATAGTTTATTCCATATCCCATACCGTGAAATCTTTTGATCAGAAAATATCCATTGTCATCTTTCCCATCGAGGCCAAGTATTTGTTGCTCTTTGATAACACTTGCCATTTCCCCATAACTATGCATATAAGCAAGGAGCCCCTGGTGGCAGATGGTACAGGTGAAAGCCCTTGACTGCTAACCAAAGGTTTGGTGGTTCCAGCGCACCAGCTAGTCCCCAGGAGAAATATGTGGCAATTTGCTTCTGTCAAGGTTTATAGTCTCAGGGCAGTTCTGTTCTGTCCTCTAAGGTTCAAGGGTCAGAATAGACTCAATGGTAGTTGGTAGGTTGATTTATGAAAGTGCACATATTCCTAAAAACTTCACCACCATCATAAATGTTTATATTCAAATGAATGTACTTTCCTCACATGTACTATAACATAAATAATCTTTCTTCTTAAAATAAATGGGAGAAGGTTACCAATAATTACATATAAATAAAACACTGAAAAGATATATATTGGAGGATAGGGAAAAATAAATGTTTGAATTTTTCCAGAAGATAAATTTAAAATGGGAAACAACTGTAAGGATGATTTTTAACGTTTTCATCAAATGTTTGCTCTTTGTCCCGGGGCATGTGCCCGATTCCCGGTTTCATTCTCTTTGGCCTTAGACCAGCTTTGGGTTCGTGAACAGTCTTTTCGGGACCATGAAGGAGGAGGGAGACGCTTCTGAGCCTGCTCTGTCCGTGGACTTCATTTCCGTGCTCACAAAGGTAAGATCCTTCTGGGAGCTCTCCTCTTCAGGCCACAAATCCGCACACCTCCCTGGAAACTTGTTTGTATTTACCCACAGCTTTGTTGCAGAGAAACAAGCATCATTACCCTCCCACAAAGAAGCCTTCCCTTTCTCTACTCTGTCAAGGTTTTCAAAACACACACACACACACACACACACACACACACACACACACACGTGCGCGCATAGGAAAGCCATTTCCAAATCTGTTTCTTTCAAATGACTTCAATTTAAAGCAATATTCATGGCAAGAGTTTATCGTATCCTAATTACATGGTTCAGTTGTTCTTCTAACAAAAGTGCCAGTTGCTCAAAAAAGAGCAAAATAAACCCTCAAATTCATCAACACTCTTGATAAAAGTCTGTGGAAATACTAAGAAAAAGGAAAACTGCATTCTGGGTTTGATAAGGTCTTGAATAGATATTGGGCACCCACCTCAATATTTTATTGTTGTTGTTTCCTGCTGAGATTTTCAAGGCAGCATATTATTATTATTATATTCAGCAAGACTTATATTCTTACAAAATTTCTATAAGTATTGAGATTTATTTATTGAGCACTTACTCAGTAGTAGCTGATACCTCATACACCACTACTAACACCACCACCCACTTAGGGAATGTCCAGTCTAGTCGAAAAGAAATGAATCTGAGAATGACATATTTTATAGATTTGCAGTCACAGAAACCCCCAGAGGCAAAGGACCACTGTGAGTCAGGATCGACTCAATGGTCGTGAATTGGTGGGGTTTTTGTTTTGTTCTGTTTGGTTTGTGTCAAAGAAGGTTTAAAGTCCGGTGTCACAATGGTTAAGCATTCTGTGGCTTACAGAAAGCGCAGGGATTCCAGCCACCAGCCACTCCACAGGAAGAAACGCAGCAGTCTGCCTCCATCAAGACAGTAGCGTTGCAAACCTTGCGGCGCACTTTGACTTTGTCCTAAAGGGTCTCTAAGAGTCGGGCCCCAAGTCACAGCAAAAGGTGTGTTGGATTTGGTTTGGGTATCAAACAAGGAAGATGCCTCAATGTTTCAAAATTCACCAGGGAATCATGAAAATGCATGCTTGGTCTATTCCTGTGGCTTCTGTTTCACCTTTATTGGAGGAAGGAACATGGTTTACATTAAAATTTTCACCCGAATCCTGATAGTCAAGTTAGAATTGGTTGTGCTGTAGTTGTAAATAAACTCCCAAGAAGGGGGAGAAAAGGGGAACCGATCACACTGATCAATGCATAACCCCCCACCCCCACCCCACCCAGGGTGATGAACAACAGAAACATGGGTAAAGAGAGACAGCAGATGGTGCAAAATATGAACATAAAAATAATTTTATATGAGGATGGGGAAATAGATCTATGAGC